TAGATAGATAGATAGATAGATAGATAGATAGATAGATAGATAGATAGATAGAGATAGGTAGCTAGGTAGGTAGGTAGGTAGGTAGGTAGGTAGATAGATAGATAGATAGATAGATAGATAGATAGATAGATAGACAGATAGATAGATAGATAGAGTGTGTCCTGGTATGGCATTGTAGGATAAGCACTCAACTGTAAGGATGGTTTGGAACCGTTAAGATCAGTGGTTCAAACTCACCGACCTTGGAAACACTGTACAGAGTCACTATGAGTTGGAACCAACTCAAAGGCACTCAACATTTCTTAAACATCTTGAGTTTTTCTAAAACAACAACAAAAAAATTGGATTTCAGTCTAAATATGGGATATATTTTGGTATATAAGCCTCTTTTGTATTTACTTAATTTCAAATATGAATATAAAATTACACTGATATTGTTTGGCAAGTCATTGACAACTAGTTATTTAAATAAAAATATGCCTTGTTGTTGTTGTAATGTGCCATCGAGTTGGTTCCGACCCCTAGCAATCCTGTATAGGGTTTCAGAGGAATGTGCCTTGTTAGTAGAGTGTAAAACATTTAGTATTCTTCCATTATCCTCAAAGCCTCAAATGTACTCTTATTTGTTGTCCAAATACTGAAGACAGAGTCTGAATTCTAATAATAAAAACTGGAGTAATCCCTAGCAAGTCTCCTACACACCAGTGTGTTTGGAAACACTGGTACGGTAGCTAATGCACAGGGTTGCTATGAATTGGAATCGACTCAAGGACAATGCGTTTCCCTCCATTGTAGCTTTTGTTTTCTATTGCTACTGAAACAAACAAAACAAGACATGGCGACAATGGAAATAATGGTACCAACTGATATGATTTTCATTTAAGAATCACTCAGGGTAGGGTGTGAAGATAAGGTTGATGTAATACAAAAATTCACTTTTATTAAATTAAAGGAATTAGCTCCACTGCATTTGTTACTAATTTTTGAGTTACTATCTTTGCCATTAATGCTAACAGCATAATTTGACAAATGGTCTTCTAAAATAAGGATCAGCAAACTATGGCCCACTGTTTTTACAAATAAAGTTTTATTGGAACAGTCACTGAACAGGTTCACTTATGCACTGCATTGTTTATGAATTTTGTATTTTTTTTTTTTTTTGCGCATTGTCCATTATGTAGCTGTGTTTGAGATACAATGGCAAAGTTGAACAGTTGCAACATAGATCAGTTGACCTACAAAACCTAAAATGTTTATTATCTAACTCTTCACAGAAAAAGTTTTCCTACCCTTCTTTTAAAGAAAAAAGAGGATACCAGTTTATGAAAATTGACACTTTTCCATCTTTTGTTTACTAAACTACTCTGATCACTATGCAATTTACATACGGAGGGATAATTTTTAATCCTGGCCTCAATAATTATCTGAGGATAATGAAACAGTCTGTTTCGTATAATTGAAACAGATCATTGATGTGAGATCCCACAACACTTGGGTTTTTTCTTCATTAGGAAAATGACCAACCTTCAGAATCTCTGCTTCTTTGGAGACAATTTATTTTCTCCCATTTTACCCAGTAGCTTTCTGGAATGAGAGTAAGGTCATGAAGAATCTTGCATCATCTCAGAGTTGTGTGTTCAGGTGTGTGTGTGTAATTTTTCAGTCCAATACAAATATTGATTGTAAACCTTCAGTATGCCAGACATTATACCAGATGTGGACATACAAGATAAATAAGATATAGCTGACCTGCTCTTAGAGGGGCTCATAACCTCAGGAGAGTTGCTGATCTTTACCTTAAAGAGAAAATGATTTCGTCATCGGAGCAGTGAAGTTGAGCTACATCTTGAACTCTAATCAGATATCTGTTTACTTCTGATAGACTCTATGAAATCAAAAACAAAATGAGAAACATACATACATTATTATTTTTTAAATGCGAAGTCCCATTAATACAGAATTATTTTACATGCCAGTATATGGGATTGTTGACTGGTTGTCAGCTCTATTCTGAAAAGTGAATGTTTTCATTGTTTCTTTCTTTAGTATTTTAGAATATTGTCTAATTTTCAAGCTACTGAAATTCTTGCTTTATTTATAGATGCATTCATAATGGCAAATCTGCTGCAAGAAGCTTCTTTAAAGTGTTAAAAAGCAAAGATGTCACTTTGAGTCCTAAGTACTAAAGTGCACCTGACTCAACATGATATTTTCAATTGCCTCATATACATGCGAAAGCTGGATGAGGAAGTAAGACCAATGTATTGATGTCTTTGAATTATGGTATTGGTGAAGGTTATTGAATATACCATATACTCACGTACTTTGGACATGTTACCAGGACGGACCAGTCCCTGCAGAAGGACATCATGCTTGGTAAAGGAGAGGGTCAGTGAAACAGAGGACCCAGAAAGGAGGACTGACATCATGGCTACAACCATGGACTCAAATAAGGAACAACTGTGAAGCTGGTACAGGACCAGACTGTGTTTCCATCTGTGGTACACAGGGTTGCTGTGAGTTGGAACCAACAATAACAAAAGCAAAAACAAAATAGGGAGGAGGATTAAAGAGGACCTGTCAAGAAAGGAAGGAAGTGGGTTTGTACAGATTAAGACGTCAGGCAGTGTTTCGGGTCATGGAGAACACGTTGTGGTGTGAACAGAGTCACAGGGTTAGAAGTGGGAGCTAAAACCAACTTCAAGAATTTGGACTTTCTGCAACCCAACTAACTCCAGTTCGTTTTTCCTACCAAAATACTCAGATCTAACTGATGACAATTGCTTCATAAATTTCACCAAATAAAAACAATCTCTTGAATCTGTATTTTCATTCAATATATTTCCTATGTTGTGCTCTTAATATGTGCCAGTCACGAGTCAGGTGTGGGAACAGAAGATGAGCAAAGCATAGCTCATATCTGATGGAGTTCCAAGTCGTCAACAAATGATTACAATAAAATGTGGCGGGGATGTTCAACATGTTGCAGGACACCTGGGAAGGAGTGCTTACAGGTGGATATTTTGGAGGAAACTTTACAAAGAAGATGATAACTGAACGGGATTTTTTAAAGATGAATAGAAATGTATCATGTGGAGTAGGAAAGAAAGGCAATTTGAGAAAATGAAGAGAACATACAACGCACAATGATGTGAAGAGAGGCCAGCGTTGGGAAACAGCTAGTAGATCTGTGTGGGGTGGACATAGGTTGATAGAGGAATCAGTTGTTGCTATTGTTAAGTGCTGTCAAGTCAGTTTCAATTCATAGCTTAGGGTTTCCTAGGAATTGCTGGTGAGCTTGAACCACTTACCTTGGGGTTCAAACTGACCTTGCAGTCCAGCACATAACCTGCAATGCCACACCAGGACTCCAGAGGAATCAGAAAGAAAGCTTAATAAATAGAGTGGGGTCAGGTGGTATTTTGTTGGCAACAGATAGCCAGTAGAGGACTTCTGAATATTTTGTTGGCAACAGATAGCCAGTAGAGGACTTCTGAATATTTTTTAGACAGCCTCAGTGTGTAAAATTCTATACCAGATAAGGAGCTACTCGGATAAGCACTGGACCACAAGATTGGTTTGAACTGCAATGTTGGCAGTTCAAACCCACCAGCCACTCCTCAGAAACCCTATACAGAGTCACTGTAAGTCAGAACCACTTAACAATAATAGTTACCACCAAGTTGACTATGACTCACAGTGACCCATGTGTATCACAGTAGAACTGTGCTCCCTAGGATTTCAGTGGCTGGCTTTTCAAAAGTAGATAGCCAGATCTTTCTTCTGAGGTTCCTCTGAGTAGACTCAAACTTCTAACCTTTCAGTTAGCAGTCTAGTGAATTAGCTATTGGAATCACCCAGGGGCTCCAGCAAGGAACTAAGACAGCAGAAAAGTGATAGTATGAGGTCAAGTCTACTTGTGCCTCTTCCCATATAGCATCCTTGCAGGTAACAAGGACGTGAGATGTGCAGCTTGGCAGCACCTGGCTGTGAACAAACGTTAGCTGGATCTGAATCTGTGTGTCGTGGTCACGAGCATGGGATTCAGCAAGTACATCAGGATACGTACAGGGCAGCCCCCAATGATTTTCTGTATGTCTGACAGCTGGTCTTTCCTAATGGCATTTTGCTTCACCTAGAAAAGAAAGACATCTTAGGTAAACTAAAATTGCAGCATTTTCATACTGAGAAGAAATTGATCAAATGTTTTACGGTTTTTGATGCACAGCTTGATATTTTTCTAAATTCTTAAAAAAAAAAGAATCTCAATTTTCTGTACCCATTGTTTTAAAACAAAGAGGCAAAGTGACAAGACTGTATTCAACAAAGCATCTGCTGAGTGTAAGGTGGTATCAGTTTACATTTAGGCCAGACTCTCGTACATAAAGTGCATTACAGTGAAGATGTTTGTAGGATGACACTGCTGTCTGCATTCCAAAATGCAGACTTCATTCTCAGAGTCACTATGGTTGGTGTATCTACTAAGGTAGGAAGGCTAACAAACACATTTAAGAAATATTTTCAGAGTCAAAGGATTTGACAATTTTAATTTGACAATTAAAATACCCTATTCTTGAAGCTTTCACATAAATAAAGGTTTCACTGTATAGATATCTTACAACATTCTGTCTCGAGTTCTTTGGTTTGTAATAACTGCCGTTAGTACTCAGAATCATTGAACACAACTTTTGATTTAGTGTAAAAAAGGATGAAAGACTATTTGAAGTGAAGACCAACACCAGAAGAGGAAAAAATACTTCAGGATCTTGAACTAAGAATCACTATGACATTTCTTAAGGACACGGATTCTGATCAGCAACCAACCTGATCTATATAATCTTTATACTGCTTGATTTGGGCAATCGCAGTGGTCAGATCCCCACGGTCAACATGTTCTGCAGGAGTGTGACACCTCAGAGCATAGAGAAGATGAATATATTCTTCAAATCTTCGGGAGGGGTACAGAAGCAGCTCTGGCAGGCTGCACAAGACACAGAGAAATGCAGAGAGATGCTCAAGGAATGCCCTGTCTTTGTGGTGTCCCTGCTCAGCCCTCCCTCAGATCTCACCTCAGCATTTTCGTAATAATAGTCTTCTCGTGTCTCTTCAGGAAACTTCGGAACGCTGGTATCATTTCTCTGCACTAAAATGTGAATATAAGCAATCAAAACCTTTGCTCTATGAGACCATTGTAAATATTCCTGTTGTACTACTCAAAGCAAAAAGACAATATCTACATATCTACATGTAAGCAGTAAAGGTATTATTAGTGCTACTGGCATCTTACTAGTAAATTAGGAATATGGCTAGTGGCTGTGTGCCGTGGAGTCAGTTCTGACTCATAGCGACCCTGTACAGAGTTTCCGAGGCTGTAAATCTTTACGGGAGCAGAACGCCTCATCTTTCTCCCATGGAACAGCTGGTAGTTTCAAACTGCTGACCTGCGGTTCGCAGCCCGATTTGTAACCACTATGCTACCAGAGCTCCTTAATTAGGAATATAGTATTAATCATATCATTAAAAAATGTTGCCATTGAGTTGATTCCAGTTCCTGGTGGCCCCATGTGTTCACAGAGTAAACTGTGATCATAAGGTTTCAAACACTGTGTTTTTTAAAAGCAGATTTCCAGGCCTTTCTCCCAAGGCACCTCTGGGGGAGCTCAAACCTCCATAATTGTAGTTAACCATTTGCAACACCCAATAGACTCCAATAGACTTAACCATATTCATTAAACATAATCAGCATAGACAAATGAGAACAGAATTTATGACCAGAAAGGCCTGCAATATAATTAGGATCGTCTGTATGACCGTCTCAAGTTACTTTACTTCTCTGAGCCTCTCAGCTTTCTCACCTGAAAAACAGATGTTAGTTAACTTACAAAATTATGGTGAGAAAAAGTCTATGAAGTGCCTAATGGTGGTGGTTATATGCTGCGGAGTCGGTTCCAACTCATAGCGACCCTGTATAGTGTTTCCAAGGCTGTCAATCTTTACGGAGCAGAGAGCCTCATCTTTCTCCCTCAGAACACCTCATAGTTTCGAACTGCTGACCTTGAGGTCACCTTATGAAGTGCCTATCACCAAATAAATATTATGACTAGAAGTAACCTTTAAATCTCCCGCTCATCATGTTTTCCATACTATCACTAACACGGCGCTCCACTGCATACAACATCTGCCTTTACACTGACTCGTTCCTCACCAGGGAGCATCCAGGAAGTTGCCTCCCTTTAATCAGACTCGACATGTGCCTAAAAGATGTCAGTAATGCTGATTCCTAGAAGTCAAATATTCACTGATTTCAATAATATTAATTGTTGTTGTTGTTAATTGCCATCAAGTCAATTCCCACCCATAGTGACCCTGTACAGGGTTTCCAAGGAACAACTGGTGAGCTTGAACTGCTGACCTTGCAGGTCAAACCGACTTTGCAGTCCAGCGCATATACCCACAGTGCCATACCAGGACTCCTAATAATACTAATAGATGACATTTATTGAGTACTTACCTATATGGAACACAATGGTTTAAAATTAGGAAAGGTTTGTATCAGTGGGGTGTTCTTTCACCATACTTATTCAATCTATATGCTGAATAAATCATCCGAGAAGCTGGGTTCTATAAAGAACACATGGCGTCAGGATTGGAGGAATACTCATTAACAACCTGCGATATGCAGATGATACAACCTTGCTTGTTGAAAGTGAAGAGGACTTAAAATAGTTACAGATGAAGATAAAAGAGCACAGCCTTCAGTATGGGTAGTTTTCTTTACCTCAATGTAAAGAAAACAAAAATCCTCACCACAGGACCAATAAATATCATCATGATCAATGGAAAAAAGATTGAAGTTGTCAAAGACTTTATTTTGCTCAGATCAACCATCAACCCTCATGGAAGCAGCAGTCAAGAATTAAACAACGTACTGCATTGAGCAAATCTGCTGCACAAGACCTCTTTAAAGCATTGAAGAGTAAAGATGTCAGCTTGAAGCCTAAGGTGTGCCTGACCGATACCATGGTATTTTCAATAACCTCATATACATGCGAAAGCTGGACAGTGAATAAGGAAGACTGTAGAAGAATTGATGCCTTTGAGTTATGGTGTTGGCAGAGAATATTGAAAGTGACATGGGCTGCCAAAAGAACCAACAGATCTGTGTTGGAAGAAGTGCAGCCAGAGTGTTCCTTGGAGGCCAGGATGGCCAAACTTCGTCTCTCATACTTCAAACATATTGTCAGGTGGGACCAGTCACTGGAGAAGGATACCATGATTGATAAGGTGGAGGGTCAGAGAAAAAAGAGGAAGACCCCCCAACAAGATGGATTGGCAAAGTGGCAGCATCAATGGGCTCAAACGTAGCAATGATTGTGAAGTTGGCCCAGGACTGGGCAATGTTTCATTGTGTTGTGCATAGGGTCACTATGAGTCAGTACCAACTCGATGGCAGCTAACAATGACAACAACCTGTATGGAGTCCTGGTGTGGTGCTAAAGGATAAACGCAGAACTACAAGTTCTGTTTGAACCACAAGGTCAGCAATTCAAACTCACCAGCTGCTCTTTGGAAACCCTATACTGGGTCGCTGTGAGTCAGAACCAACTCGATAGCACTTAACAACAACAAGAACCTGTATGTACACCTTATGCTAACTGAAATAATATTGTCCATAGGTATAAAACTTGGGGCTTCAATTTGTAATGAAAATACAACCCACTCTGTAAGCACATATTTAAGGTGAAAATTATTTGTTTTTGATATGTGATGCTTTATTACAATTCTTGCTCTCAAAGTGAATCCTATGAAATTACCTTGTTCATGCAACTTTTACTTAATTGCATTACCCAGCAATGACTAATCTCCCTGGGAGGGGTGGGTGGAGCAATACAGAAGGCAGGTGTCCATAGTCAGGAATCATCCAGTGGCCTCCTAGCCCCCAGGCCTTACTTCCTTTGCATGCCCCAGTGGAACCAGGTGGCCGAAGTATCAGTCACCTGGCAGAGTGCTCTACTATGTCACGGGATATGAAGGAAAGAAGGGAGAAAGAGAGATCTTCTACCATCCAGCAGAGATCTCCACAAAGGCAGTAAGTAAGAGCTGCAGCAGGGAGTTGGTTACACCTGTTCAAACTAAAACTTGGCTAAGTCCCATCAGGACAAATTGTTTCCACACTCCATGGTTAATTCTCCAAGAAATACAAAGAAATTCCTTATTTCATAGTGAGATTTCCTAAAATGACTATTCCTATTGCTCTGGTAGTGTAGTGGTTACGAATCGGACTGCGAACCGGAAGGTCAGCAATTCGAAACTACCAGCTGTTCCGTGGGAGAAAGATGAGGCTTTCTGCTCCCATAAAGATTTACAGCCTCGGAAACCCAGTACAGGGTCGCTATGAGTCGGAACCGACTCCATGGCACATAACAACAACAACAATTCAAGAAACACATGGATTATGAATGCTTTTGTCCCAGGTTGGAGGGCTGAACTCATCAAGGTCACACAGACTTGTAGTAGCAGTGTAGAATAAGAAGTCACAATCTTGTTTCTACCCAATCATTCAACATTTTCCTGTAGCTGAGCCACAGGGTTTCTGGGGCAGATGAAAGCATGGCAGTTTGTTGAGGATTAGTTTAGTACAACATCCAGTTCCTAGGCACTGATCTGGGCCAAGCACTGTGGTAGTTCCTACTGTACAAAACAAAATACAATTAGGGTTCCTGTCTTCTGAGAGCTCACAGTATTCAGAGGGGATCCGAAAGCTGAGAGAAGGGAAGAAGCCTTTCCTATTAACTGAAGTCGTTTGGATTGCACCCCAAACTTCCTTTCAAGCTCAGAAGGTCTAATATCATGACTGGATGGCAACTCAATCATTTACCTTCTCAATGGTCTTCAGAACAACAGAGTAATTGTTGAAGAAATTGGTGTATGTGTTCAACTGGCTTCCAAACTTTATGAAGATGTCCCCTACACACTGGGCTGGGCACCATTCCTGTAGCCTGTCTTTCAGGTTATCTAGAAACTGTCTGCAAGATGAGAAAAGCATGGCCATGAAATAGGAGCTCATCATAACCTGTAAACTTGAAAAACAAATAAGTCCCGTCAGCACAGGATGAAGTCTTAGTGTGGGGCCACAGGATAAGCACTGGACTGCTAACTGTAATTGGACTTACTTTCCCACCAGGTGTAAGGCTGGCAGTTCAAACCCATAAAGTCCCTCCTTGGAAACACTACATAACTACATAGGTGATTATGAGGAGGAACTGACTCAAAGGCACTGAACATCAGCAACAACAATCAGCACAGGCTTTATCAACCATTTCATCTAGAGCAGGACTTTTGTCAATTACACAGAGCCATGTCATGTAACAGGAAAGGAGGATCCGGGAAGTGAGGAAGTAGATTGGCTGTGATGGAATCGCACTCCTTCACCTTGATTCCTTGAGATGAAGGAGTATGTTTGAGAGCAGAATGACAGAGTCCAGGCTGACCTCTGTAGGACTTCCCTGAATGTCCTCTTCCCACATTGCCATACAGGCAGGTGGATAAAGATCTCTTATTCTCCTTAGAGGAGAGTGCTCAGCTTGTTTCAACAGATGAGTGTCATGACCTTCACTTGCCCCATTTCCCCTTGGATCTAAGATAATTCCTTAGTCAGTGATCATAGGCCTTGAAAGTAGGAAGAAGCCTAGTTCAAATTCTCCCTTTTGTAGGAATTGGGATCCAAGGAGGGTAAGAAGTTGTTCCAAGGTGACTAGATAAGTACTGGCAGAGAAATGCCCCCTCAATTTGACTTACTTTCCCACCAGGTGAAACAATCACTTTTTTCTTTCTCTCCTGCTTTAAACTCAAAACATCTACTGTTATTAAGTTGACTCTTCAGTCTTGGGCCTTCTGAGTGATGTACCCACATGCTTTATCCCATTAGGTCCTTCTGTTTATTTCATTTAAAAATTTTTTTTATTGTGAATTGGGTGAAGATTTACAGAGCAGATCACCATTTTTTACATTCAATAACTCATACACATTCTGTTTCACCTCATTGATTACAATCCTTTCAATGTAACATAATTTATTCTACTTCTTCCCTAAGTGTCCTGTTTCCATTTCTCCTTCTTTCCTAACTTTTCTGAGCTTTTTATCTTGGGTAAATGTTGCCCTTTTGATCGCCATTAGTTGATTATCTTAAGGTGTGTATACCTCACTAGTTTTATTGTTCCGCTTATAAACCTGGCTATAGTTTGAGTGAGAACTGAGCTGCAGGGGTGAGTTCAGCCACAGGGATGAGTAGCTAAGGGTCATCATCTCAGGGATTCCATCTGCCTGTATCCAAACAGGAAGTCTGATCTCTTTTATAATTTTGAATTTTATTTTACATTTTCTTCCACTTTGTCCAAGAAAGATGAGGCTTTCTGCTCCCGCAAAAATTGTACAGCCTCAGAAACCCTATACAGGGTCACTATGAGTCCGAATCAACTCAACAGTGCTGAACCCTAACAATAATCTAGGACCTCCTAGTAGCATCCCTTTCAGAACAGTTGGTAATGATAAGTCAGGTACCATCGAATTCTTCTGCTCTCAGAGTGGTGGAGACTGATGTTTGATTGGTCCATTAGTCCACTGGACTGGTTGTTTCCATATATCTTGGATTTTAACTCTTCTTTCCTCCGAAGTGACCAATTGTTGCGCTTTACATGGCCGTTCACAAGCTTTTATAACCCCAGTCGAAGTCCAGACTCACCCAAGTAGCATATGAAACATTGCCTTTGTGGATTATGTAACACCAGGTGCTATAATTCATTCCCTCAAAGTGTTTGATTATATCTCAGAAGTTTTCATAACCTTGCCACCTGTACATTTCTTCACATTCATGGATATATTTACAACAAAGGTAAATACCCATGTACAAATATCCTCTGCCAAAATGATATATATTTGTGGGTATATTCCCGCTCTCCCTCGCATACCTTTTCATCCTGCATGTCTATTCAGTTGTATACTACCTACCTCTTTGCCCAAGTAACATGTGTATTAATTTCTTCCCAAATTTAAAACACTCTGTTTTACCTTCACGTCTAATTGACTTTCTCTCCATTTGGAAGTTCTATAACTACACTATTTCCTCTTGTAATTGTCTTCATTAAAAATTGATAACTCTGGCTCCCTGCTTTCAGTCTTGTAGTTTGTTTGACTTTGAATACTTTGTATCTGGGTTGACTTCTGGGTGGTGTTGTCAAGTACAAGGATGAGTCAAAAATAATCCACACTCTGACTATATAATTTATTTTAACCAACTTTTAGAAAAGACAAATATATCATTTTTTGACACACATTCCTTACTATTCAATCCACTTGTCCATCTGTCAACAAGCTTTCCTATACCCTTATTTTCAAAATGTTTTCTGCTGAGCTGTGAGCCACAAATGTACGACTGTCTTCACTTCTTCATCAGAGGTGAATCTTCATCCTCAAAGAGCTGCTTTCAGGGGACCAAACAGGTGAAAGTTGGATAGGGCAAGATCAGGGCTATAGGGAGGATGCTTTAATACTTCAAACTGAAGTTTTTTCAGAGTGTCAACATTGTGGGCATAGTGTGTGGATGTTCATTATCATGCAAGATCACAGTGCTCTTGAATAGCAGCCCTTTGCATTTAATCCAAAATTCAGGTTTTAGCCCTTCAGTGAGCATCTCACTGTAACGAGCATTGCTGAACGTTAAAACTTTTTCCTGCTAATAGTCCCATACTGACCCTTGAGAATCCTAGAAAACTGTAAGCATCAATTTTCCAGCTGATGGCTGACTTTTGAACTTTCTCTTGGCTGGTGATTGAGGATGCTTCCATTCCATACTTTGTTGTTGACTCTCAGGCTCATAGTGATGAATCCATTTCTTGTAACCATTAAAGAAACTTTTACCTTTCTTTGAGTATCAATCCAAATGTTTCTTTTTGTGTTCTTCCTTGAGCTGTTTTTACCCATCTCACATACACTTTTTAAAAGTCAAGTCTATCGTGGATAATTTCATAGACAGATCCATGGCTGATTTGCAAATGATTTGTCACATAATCCACTGTCACTCATCTATTCGACAGAATCACTTCACACACATACTCAATGTTGGCATCAGCTGTGTATAGGCATTTTAATATAACTGGAGTGCAGATCATTTTTGACTCATCCTCATATGTTCATCTCAGGTTGTTGTCTACTGTTCTTGATTCTCTGTTTGAAGAATGCCATTTAGTATTTCCTATAAAATGTGTCTGGTTTTTACAAATTTCTTCAATTTCTGTTTATCTGAAAATGTCCTAGTTTTGCTGTTGTATTTAAGGAACAATTTTGGTGGACAATTCTTTTCTTTGAGAGTTTTACATATATCATCCCATTGTCTTCTTGCCTGTATGGTTTCTGCTGAGAAATCAGAGCTTAGTCTTACTGGATCTCCTTTATAAGTGACTAGGTTTTGGAGCATTTGATTATATGTCTTGGTGATTTTCTCTTGGGGTTTATCCTGTTTGGGGTTCATTCACCTTCTTAAATACATATCTATTAGTCTTTCATGGTGTTAGGGAAATTTTCTTCCAACAAATCTTCAATAATTTTCTATGTGCTTTGTTTTTCTCTTGTTCTGAAATTTCAGTCACATACTTTATTCTCTTGTTGGTGTCCCACACAATGCTAAGACGTTCTTCAGATTTTTGTGTTCTTTTTTCTGTATGTTCCCCTAGCATGTTAGTATTGAGGAATGTGTCTCCTAATTTGGCATTCCATTGATTAAATTCTACTCCTTTATCCTTTCAGTGCATATCCATTTCTGAAATCTCAGTACTAATCTTTGGAATCTTTTTTGTTATTTTTTTTTGTATGGTTTCTATTTTTTAAATTTATTTTTGTCTATTTGTTCTTGTAGTGTTTTCCTGAATTATTCTAAGGTTTTGTCTGTGTTTTCTTTGATTTTTTTCTACAGCTTTCTTGATCTTTCTCTCAAACCATTGAAGATACCTAAACATCAGTCTTATCAGGAAGTTCCAATGCCATTTTTTCCTTCAGAACTATCTTTTAGCTCTGTATTTTGGTCACTTGTTTGAGACACTCTGTCTTGTTTCTTTGAGTGTATTGAAATTGTTATCTCTGAGACATGTTAGTGTTGTATTTATATTTAGTTGATGATTGTTTATTGGTATGTTTTACGGACTCTCCACCTCTCTCCTAGTTGGTGTGATAGAGAATGTAAGTGTGTGTAAAGTTCTCTGTTCTGTATTTGTGTAGCACAGTTGCAGGCAGGTTTGGCTGGTGTTGGCTGTGGTCTATAGATGATCAGGTGATTTAGGTGTGGATAATGGCTCTCTCCCAGTAAGTGAAGCAGAAGAAGGTATGGGTGTGGCTGAGCTGTATGGGCAAGGTTGCTATATCATACTGGGTAGAACTATAGAAAGAAAAAAGAAAGAGAGAGAGAGTTGGAGGGCATAAGCAAAAGCATAAAATAAAATAATTTCTTATTATTTAAGAGATTATTTAATAACTAAAAAAGTAAGATAAAAACAAGGGAAGGAAAAATACAATAAACAAAACTAAGGAGAGGGAAAAGAAAATCGTAAAGGGAAAAACATGCAAAGATAAGAAAGAGAAAGAAGAAAAGAAGGAAAAAAGAGAAACTGGAGAGAAGAAAGAAAAATGAAAAGCAGAGAGAAAAGGAAAAGAAACATGGGAACAGAAGGAAAATAAAAACAAAGAAAGATAGTAGAAAAGTGGTATAGGGGCAGAACCCAGAGGGGAGAACTCTGGGTGACAAGGGAATCTGGTATGTGTCGGTACCTGCTGACAGCCACAGAGCTCAGGGAGTGTGTGTGTGTGTGTGTGTGTGTGTGTAGGGGAATAGATGAGGGGGTAGGATGCCCTATCTAAGATGTAGTTCCTGCAGGCCTAATTGTCTGGGGCCGGGGCACCTCATCTAAAAGTTTGTGATGCCTCAGAAGGTAGCTCTGGGTTCTCATTCCCTGAAGGAACTCGTTCAAGCCCAGAGGGCAGCTGGGGGCAGAGTGGCTAGTTCTGGAAGGAGTTCTTGGACTTCCATGGTGACTGGGATGCAGCACATCAAGGTCAGCTATTCTAATGAGACAGAGTTCAGGCTCCTCCAGACTCAGGGAAAGTGCAACTAGAGTGACTCCGATCTTGGGCAGAGCAGTGGCTATGCAGGGCAGAGGGGTGTCACTGGCTAAAGGGTAGGTGAAAGTAGAGGCTGGCCATGCTTCTGGTCACAGGAGGGTGTGGGGAACGAGGGGAAGATCCAGTCATTGGAGTACATTTGTGTAATCAGGCCACCGTCTCAATGGGACACCACTTGCAAACGTTCAAAATGGCTGTGCTATGTCAGGTCAGCTGACAGTTCACTCATCTGTCTCTTTTCACTGCTTTTGTTCAGCTTCTTCTCCTAGTTGGTACTCAATCTACTCATCTATAGTTTCCTCAGATTCTTAGAGTTTCAGGATTATTTGTTTCTTTCATTTGATCTCTCATGTCTTTGTTGTAGCAGTCCTGTGTAGTGAGTCTGCCTAGTTTGCCATCTTCATGGAAGTCCCCTTCTTTTTCTTTCCAATTGCCAAAACTCCGCTGACGAATAGCAGCTCTATATGAGTCTCCTTCCCATTGTCTTTTGCATGTACATTATATTGATTCTGGAGTTCCCAGGCATTAGTTTACCATGGCCATGAGCTGGGGAAAAGGTAAGCCTGTGAGAATCAACACTACCACTGTCAGTCAAAGGAGTGATGTGGTGAGGAGCCCCTCTCCTCTGTAAGAAGGTCAAAGTCCTCAAGAAGAGAGAGGAACGACACAGCCTCCATGCACCATTGGAAACAACCACATGTAATTCCTTCTATCACATAATGAACATTTAAAAGACTACTTATTAAGAGTTTACCTGTTGAGGCTTAAAATCCATAGGATATCACAGAAAATGATCTGGATATTTGCAGCACTCAGAATTGCTCTGTTTGATGACAATGCTGCTTTCAGTGGCGTTACATAAACATCTCTCACAATTTCCAACATCTGGACGTATTTCCTCTCACTCTGTAGGAGCTCCCTGACAACTTGAGTTCGCTTTTCTGCTGACTCCATCTGGAGTTTTCTCTCCTATAGAAAGGCAAGAAGAGCTCATAGTAAAAGCATCATGACTCCTAGATTTATAGTCTCAAGAAATGTAAAAGTTGAAGGCGGTAATGAAATGGAACTATCTAGTTGGTAGCATGCAGTGTTGAAGAGAATCTTGACAAGGGGACTCTTGTGTTGTTGTCAAGCTGGTTCTGACTCACAGCGACCCTGTATAGGGTTTCTGAGGAGTGTCTGGTAGGTTTGAACTGCTGACCTTGTGGTTTTCCATCCAGTGCTGGTACTACAGGACTTTGGTTGTTGTTGGTGGTAGTTATGTGCTATGGAATTGATTCTGACTCATAGTGACCCCGTATAGGGTTTCTGAGATGGTAAATATCTAGAGGACCACAAAGATCAACTTTTGTCTCCAGCACCCCCAAATTATACTGAAGGAGGAAGTCCAAGGTGCATTGAAAGAATTGGCAAAGAACAAGGCACCAGGAATTGATGGAATAAAAATTGAAATCTTTCTAGAAAGTGAGCCAACCCAGGAGGCACTCACTCATCTCTGCCAAGAAATTTGGAAGACAACTATCTGGCCAACTGATAGGAAGAAATCCATATTTGTGCCTATTCCAGTGGAATGCAGAAATTACTGGACAATCTCTTTGATATCCCATGAGAGTGAAGTTTTGCTAAAGGTAATATAGAAATGGCTGCAATTATCCATTGACAGAGAACTTCCAGAGGTTCAAGCTGGATTCAGAAGAGGCTGTGGAATGAGGTATATCATTGCAGATGTCCAATGGATCTTGGCTGAAAGTAGAGAATATCAGAAAGACATTTATTGTGCTTTATTGACTATGCAAAGGCTTTTGATTGTGTGGATCATGATAAGCTATGGGCAACATTGCGAAGCATGAGTATTCTGGAACACTTAATTGTGCTCATGAGGAATCTGTACCTGGACCAAGAAGCAGTTGTTCAAACAGAACATGGGAACACTGAGTGGTTTAAAATTAAGAAAGGTGTGCAACAAGGTTGTATTCTTTCACCATACTTATTCAACCTGTATGCTGAGCAAATAATATGAGAAGCTGGGTTCTATGAAGAAAAACGTGGCATCAGGATTGGAGGAAGACTCATTAACAACCTGTGATATGCAGATGATACAACCTTGCTTGCAGAAAGTGAAGAAGACTTAAAACATTTACTGATGAAGATCTAAGAGCACAGCCTTCGGTATGGATTACATCTCAATGTTAAGAAAACAAAAATCCTCACCACTGGACCAATAAACAATATTTTTATCAATGGAGAAAAGATTGAAGTTGTCAAAGACTTCATTCTTCTTGGATCAACTATCAACACTCATGGAAGCAGCAGTCAAGAGATCAAATGACTTATTACATTAGGCAAATCTGCTGCACAAGACCTTTTTAGTGTTGAAGAGCAATGGTGTCAGCTTGACCCAAGCCATGGTATTTTCAATAACCTCATATGCATGCAAAAGCTGGACAGTGAATAAGGAAGACCGTAGAAGAATTGATGCCTTTGAGTTATGGTGTTGGAGGAGAATACTGAAAGTGCCATGGGTTTCCAAAAGAACCAATAGATCTGTTTTGGAAGAAGTACAGCCAGAGTGCTTCTTGGAGGCCAAGATGGCTAAACTTTGTCTTTTAGACTTTGGACATATTGTCAGGAGGGACCAGTCGCTGGAGAAGGATATCATGTTTGGTAAGGTGCCCAACGAGATGGATTGGCCAAGTGGTAGCATCAATGGACTCAAGCTTGGCAACAGTAGTGAGGCTGGCCCAGGATCGGGCAGTGTTTCGTTCTTCTGTGTGTAAGGTCGCTATGGGTTGGTACTGACTCGATGTCACCTAACAACAACCCCCAAATAGCCCCTCATAGCAGACCAGACTAACTACCTAAGAAAATTTTCATGGAAAGAAGAGAACTGCCCATAATAAAGGTTGAAATGTCACTGTCAGCAGCAAAACAAATGAAAAAATGTGCATCATATTGTAAATTGGCTTACCAGCTTAATGAGCACCTCAAAGTTAAGATGCCTTTTTCCGAGACTCCATTTTGTGTCCTGAGAATTGTCTTCTATGTTGTTTATTTCCTAAGAAGTCAATGGAAACACAATTACTGGGAGGCAGGACTGTGTATGTCCAGAGGAAATTCTCAGCAGTTTTCTGTTTTCAGCCCATCTACAGTGTTCCCTTAAAAAACGAATCTCCCACAAGTCCATGAGATGCCCAACTCCTCTTCCATAACAACTCATGGCAATGATGCTTCCTGGACATAGTAAAGTAAGTAGTCGGCAAATTTGATGCTTCTCTTGGCATTTCATGTTAAAAAAAACTGAAAACCTTTAGCTTCCCTTGAGGTTCCCATTTCCCCCTGGGAAGCTGGGGAGGGATGGTACTGTTCAGCAGTGGTTGTCTGGCTTGCATTGCACACACTCGTGGCCTCTGCCTCAGCTTTGCTTTGTCACTCGTCCCTTGGGGACAAATAGGTTGTGATACTTTTTAAGGAAAAGCTCACACGTGGACAAATGTCACCCCCGATGAAAGTGTGTCATACATAATTCACATACATTCTGTACCTGTCTCCACATTTACATATTTTCTCTGATTCTTTCTTCACTTTTCCATATCTTTAGGACACTTAAAAAGAAAAAACCCATCTGGCTGCCTGTATCATACTAGGGTCCACTCTAGCAATGGGCCCCATGTTTGTGTCCAGCGGCAGTGATGGATGGTTATTGCTGCTACTCTTCCTAGGCAGAGAGAAAGCTCTTGATGGTGACCCCTGACTGATAATGTCCAGGGGTAAGGCGGAAGTAAAAACTCCAGTTGTAACCCAGGTTCCTTCCACCTTACTTGACTTCAGTTGATCCTCATGGCTGCCTGGAAGCTTTCCATAAGAATCCCAGTCCCCCATGCCATAATTAGCCAGCTGAGAGCAGCCCCATGTCAACTTGTCATAAATTGGTATTTATGGGGAAATCTTACTCTGAATTTTGACAAAATACAAAATTTCCATCTATGTGGAACACTCTCTTTCAAAAAACAAATGACTAAGATGATGGTTATATATAGTAAAGAGACCCATCACTTCAGAGAGTCAGTGGAGACACGGATAGTTGTATAGTTAGGCAGTAGTTGCAGACATAAAATGAAAATTAAACTCAGACTATCTCAAAGCAAAAACCAAACATACTGCCGAGTCAAATCTGACTCCTATAGCTACCCTATAGGATACAGAAGAATTGCCCCAGAGGGTTTCAAAGGCTGTAACAGTGACAGAAACAAACGACAACATAATTTGCCCCTAGAGGAGCTGGTGGGTTTGAATCACTGAACTTGTGGTTAGCAACCAAGCACCTAACCACACCACCACTGGGGTTCCCCTAAGATGTCCAAAACAGTGCCACAACAGTTTACAAATTTGAGTCTAACTCTGGTGTGGTATTGTAAGATCAGCACTACAGACTACAGACCACAAGGTTGGCAGTTTCAACCCACCAGCTGCTCCTAGAAACCCTACATAGGTTCATTATGAGTTGGAATTGACTTGACCACAATTAACAACAACAACAAGAGAAAAAGAACCATTTTAATTTCACAAAACTATGCCCTGGGTTACAAATGGAAAAAAGAAAAAAAATTCTCTTTAGGGCATGTCAGGACCCAACTGAATAAGTATCAACTGAATAAATAGCAAGGTGCCATGGAGATGCCCAGCTCCTCTACCATAACCCAAAGGCAGTGTGGTTTACAGCTTAATGGAACATTCACTTTCCTGGGTAGGGCGTTTATGATGGGTATAAATGCTATTCATATTATGAAACGTTAAACGACCTTTGTTGTATAATTGTCCAGGAAAATGAAGTTCTTAGAAAGACGGTAAGATAGAAGTTTTCCAAGAAGCATTCTCATTGCTGTTTATAAATTCCTTACTTACATGGGCCTAACTGTACAGTGAGAGGGGCCCTGGTGGCACTGTATGATAAGCACTGCTACCTACAAGGATGGCAGTTCAAACCCGCCAGGTGCTCCATGGGAGACAGATGAGGCTTTCTGCTCTTGTAAAGATGTACAGCCTTGAAGACCCTGTAGAGGGTCACTATGAGTTGGAATCACTTCGATAGCAGTGCATTTGGTTTCGGTTGAACTGTACAGTGAAGCAATGGTGTCAAAATGTGGCAGCAACCTTACCTTCAGGAATAAATTGAAGGTTGATTTTGGGTCCCATTTTGTCCAAGTAACATTTCCTTCTAAATCTTTGCTCTTTTTACTACATTTCTTCAACAGAAAAGATGATAAAAATTCCAAAGGATTATCCTGAAAAATATGCCCCCCAAAAGAATTCCTATTTAAAGCATTCATTTGAAATACAGGTCATCAAATAGAGGTCTTTTTTTTATTCTTCTTCAAGTGGTTTGATTTTTGCTTTCTACCTAATGAATTTATATTCAGAAAACAAATGGCTAATACTAAAGTAGATGTATAATGCCCACTGCCGTGGAGTTGAGTCCAACTCATAGCAACCGTACATGACAGAGCAGAGCTGCCCCAATGAGTTTCCAAGGCTGTCACCTTTACAGAAACAGACTGCCACTGATTTCTCCCACAGAGCATCTGGGGGGTTCAAACTGCTGACCTTTTGCTGATGAATTTGAACTGCTGACCTTGAGGTTCAAACTGACCTTGAAGTCTAGTGCATTATCCCACAGCACCATAACAGGTAGTGTTGACCTTAATGATGTGAAAGGAACAAAGCTTTTGGGGCCTTCATTTGCTGATGGGGAATACCTCAAAATGAGAAGACACAGTTGCAAACATTCATTAATAGAATGTGGACTGAATGAGGTATGAATCTGGGAAAGCTAGAAGTCATCAAAATGAAATAGAATATATAAAGACTGATATCCTAGGCATTATTGAGCTGAAATGGACTGATATTAGCCATTTTGAATCAGATAATATTATGATATGTTATGCTGGGAAGGAAAATTAAAGAGGAATTATATTGCATTCAATAACAAAATGCGCAGTTCAAGATCACTCTTGAAGTAAATGCTGTCTGTTGATAGGATCATTTCCATATGCCTAAAGGAAGACCAAGGAGCTCTGGTGGTGTAGTGGTTACAAATTGGGCTGCTAATCAGGCTGCTAATCTCACGGTCAGCAATTCAAAACTACCAGCAGTTCCTCGGGAGAGAGATGAGGCCTTCTGCTCCCATAAAGATGTACAGCCTTGGAAACCCTGTGCAGGGCCACTGTGAGTCAGAACCAACTCCATGGCACACAATCACCACCACCACAAGGAAGACCAGTAAATAGCACTATTATTTAAATTTATGCACCAATCGCTAAATCTAGTGATGATAAAATTGAAGCATTCTACCCACTTCCTCAGTCTGAAATAGACTAAACATGCTATCAAGATAATTATTGATGATTGTAATGCGAAAGTTGGAAACAAAGAAGAAGGATCAATAGCTGGAAAATATGGCATGGGTGACTGAAATGATGTTGGAGATAGTATGACAGAATTTTGCTAGATCAACAACCTATTCATGGCAAATGCCTTTTTTAAATGACATAAAAGGTGACTATACCCATGGACCTCAACTAATGGAATACACAGGAATCAAAGTGACTATATCTGTGGGAAGATAAAATGGAGAAGTTCAACATCAGCAGCCAAAACAAGGCCAGAGGCAAACTGTAGAACAGACCATCATTTGCTTATATGCAAGTTCAGACTGAATTTGAAGAAAATTAAAATAAGCTCACTAGATCCAAATGTGACCTTGAATCTATCCCACCTAAATTTAGAGACTACTTTAAGGATATATTTAGTACATTAGACACTGATAACTAAAGACCAGAAGAACTGTGGGATGACATTTAAAAAATCATCCATGAAGAAAGCAAAAGGTCATTAAAAAGACAGGAAATACCATAATGGACATCAAAAGAGACTCTGAAACTTTCTCTTAAGTGTAGAGAAGCTAAGTCAGCTAGGAGCAATGAGTAAGAAAAAAGGGACGAACAGAAAACTTCAAAGGACTGCTCAAGAAGACTAAATAAAGTACTATAAAGAAATGTACAAAGACCTGGAGTTAGGAAATCAAAAAGGGAAAACACACTCAGTATTTCTCAAGCTGAAAGAACTGTAGAAAAAAATTCATGCCTTGGTTTGTAATACTGAAGATTTTTATGGAAAAAATGTTGAGGGATGTAGGAAGCATCAAAAGAATATGGAGACCCTATCCAGAGAGGCAGAGACATCAGAGATGGAGGCAGAGATGAGGACATAGACAAAGAGCAGCTGAGGACTCTAGACTCTTTGAAGAGAAAGACTGAGTGCTGGCAGCCAGGGGGTAGGCTTGTGCCCTTTGGTTGTTGTAGAATGTGCCCTTTGGTTGTTTAAATGATTATATATTCCTGAGTGTTTTTGTGTACATCCCCCCAAAAAAAGAAAAATTTAAAAAGGGAATGGAAGCAAATACTGTTGAATGATGATGCACAGAGGAGACTGTAATCATTGCAATGAAATGATGAGTGTAAAACCGATGTTCTACCATGTAAACTATCACTCAACTCATAAATAAAAACTTAAATAAATAAAAACTTTAAAAGAAAAGTAAGATGAAAAGAATACACAGTCACTGTACCAAAAATAACTTGGTTGATGCTCAATCATTACAATATGTACCTTGTGATCACGAACTGATGATATTGAATAGAGAAATTCAAGCTACACTGAAACTAAGTGTTCAAGGCATTGATCGAATACAAATTTAAATGTTTCAGAAAACTGATGCAGCACTGGAAGAACTCACTCATCTATTCCAAGAAATTTGGAAGAGAGCTATTTGGTCAACTGATTGACAACGATTTTTTTGTGCCCATTCCAAAGAGATATGACCTGACAGTATACAGAAACCATCAAACATTATCATTAATATCACATGCAAATAAAATTTTGCTGAAGATAATGAAAAAATGGTTGCAGCAGTACATCGACATCAAGCCTGATTCAGAAGAGGATATGGAACGAAAGATAATCATTGCTGATGTCAGATGGAGCTGGGCTAAAAACAGTGAATACCAGTAAATCTTTAATGTTTCAGGAACATTGTGTGAGCTCTCAAGGCTTGGGCTTGTCCCTGAAAACATCCTTGATCCTTTGAACCCATAAAGCTCTCCAGAACTAGTACATTGGACATTGGTTAGAGGGCTGGGGAACTGAGTCTTCTGTTTGAGAAGACAAATCACAGCTAACAAGAGCAACTTCTCAAACTCCCCCTGTGTATCTTACTCTGGTAGATGTCTGGTGACCACCTAGGAAGTCTAACGGAAACTAATGTAGATAGAACATAGATAAGGAGAGAGCGAGAGCACACTTGTGTCCAAAGACTATGTTAAATTTGCCCACATAGTAGAATAATGATACTGGAAGAGAAGGATTCAAGACTCTTTCCCCAGGAATCAAAGAACCTCCTAGAGCATAGCTGCAGCTTTTAAGTGCTGTTAAGTTGGTTCTGACTCATAGCAATCCTGTATAGGGTTTCTGAGAAGCAGTTGGTGGATTTGAACCTCTGACCTTGTGATTATCACTCGAGTGCTTATCCTACAGTGACACACCAGAACTCCTCCTAGAACATATTGTATTCTTACCCTACTCCCATCTTCCCCAAAACTGACAGCAAGATTCATATTTCATTTTCCTAGAAGCCTTGCTATCATATTGTCTTTGTAGGGTCTGTAGACTGACCTCCCTCTTCCTCACAGTCTTCTGGCCTGTGGACTAGCTTTTCTGATAGACTGTCCAAAAAGTGTTTCTTCAGGCTTCTTCCACTTCCATCCCCAACCAAATACTGATTTGCTTATTTCTGTTCTTTTGTGCTTTCTTTTCCTTCCTTTATCAGCTTCCCCATCATCTTTCTATATTTAGTTTCACACAATCTGTTTTTGCCTCATACTATTGTCTTTAACTGTTGAATAATGTTTATGTGAAATATAAAACCACTCACATGTTTGTTTGTTTTTTTAATAAATTACTTCTAAAATTAAGCAAAAGGTTAAAAAAGACAAAAACTTTAAACACTCTAGAAGCTTTTTCTTTTGTATGTTTTGTAGACATAATGCATCTTGGAGCTAAAGTCTCTCAATGGCTCTTTTTATAAACAGATACAATTTCTCTGAGAAATTGTTCACCCAAAGAGATAAACAAAGAAAAGAGCAATAAATGCAGACTCTAAATTTATTTAAGTGTTAGATGTTTTCTGGTTTTCTTTGATGAAACACTTACAGAATTTTCTTTTGACAGCTCCATCAGTCCATCTGCCAGAGCTTGTGCAATTCCTTGGTTGCTCAAGATGTTGACTGTACTCAATGTGTCAAACATAAATTGTCCTGTAAATATAAGGTCACATTGTTGTTGGTAAGTGCTGCAGAGTCAGTTCCAACTCATAGCAATCCTGCACAGGAATTTTGAGGCTTAAATATTTGTGGGAGCAGAAAGCCTCATCTTTCTCTCACCAAGCCGCTGGGAGCTCAAACCTCCAACTTTGGGGCTTGCGGTTCAGTGTTTATCCTTCAGAGCTACTGTGCTTCTTTATACTGTGATTAATTTATGTTAAAAAATGTGATGAAGAAAACAATTCAGTCCTCACATTTGTTTTTGATTGAATAAGACTGTAAATTTTATTATGCCATGAAGATTATCTACCATGATAAAAATAAATAAATAAAATGAGCAAAAGCCAACAAAATATATAACATAAAAAGTATCCCACTTGATAGAAAGGAATATTGGGAAACATGATTATAGAAAGCTTGTAAGTCCATCTTCAGCCTATAACTGATTAGAATCCCTAAAAGGGGTGCTAGAACTTGCTCAGTGAAATAGGCTACTTATGGAGCCTCTGTAGTGTATAGGATCTTAGGTGGAATACTGAGCCCCATTCAGAACCTTCTGAGGTGGGACATTCCCACTTGAAAAGACAAGCAGACCAGCCCAGAGTAGCTAGAGGAACAGAAGATACTTCTTGAAAGAAAGACCAGTGGGAAAATTAAAAAACAAAAACAGCAATATGATTGGCTACTACAAGAACAAGTGTTCTCTGGGGAGCCATCAAGGCAAGCAATCAAGTTCATTCAGGACAAACCCCCTTCCAAGACTGAAACTCAAAGGGAATACATGAGCCGGCATGTAAGCTTTTTGGCAACCATGTTGGTTTACTGGTGAGTAGAAGAAGGAGAAAGGCAGCAATGAAGATATGGGCTGAGTTCAACCACATTCCATAGACTCCCATTGACCTGTAGATGAGAGAGAGAAGAGGAAGGGCTGGTTGGTCTGAAGTATGGTGAGACCTGGAGAATCCTGGGCCCGTGGACAAGGACACAGCCACGGTAGGCTAGAGCTGAGAGTGAAGCATCCAGCATTAGCTGTGAGGGAAGAGGCACAAGAACACCCAAACTTGCAGATAGTACCCTTTTGACCTAGCTTCAATAGCTTGATGATCAGAACTCAACTAGAGGAAGATATAAAAATTATGATAAAGGAAACAAGTGTAAACTGCTACAATTTGATGAACTTGACCTATACTTATGGATGTAGTAGCTCAAAATACCAACTGAGAGGGAAGGAATCTTCACATCAAGGATCATTCCTATCTCCTCTATACACAGGGTTGATAAGGACAGGCAACTTAGATATTGGCTACCTAAAATGAGGAGAGGGCTAAGACAAGAAGTGACTGGCTTATAAGTTTTCAAAAGGGAGTTTAGTTTTAGAGTGTGGGGGAAGGTGGAATCCCCACTGATTTTTTTTCATCTTGTCTAGATAGGTCTGGTGAAAGGAGACAGGGATAAGATTCTTATGATTCAATAGTGAGTAATTGTTATTACTAATTGCGACTGTCACAACATTAAAGGTAGAAGTTAGGTAACAAAAAAGGGGGAGTAGTTAATCTTACAGTCCAGGAGTACAGTAACTTAGGACCATCAAGGGAGAAGAGCAAGAGTGGAATGTGGGACCCTATTCAGAGAAGCAGCAACACCAGAGATGAGGACATGGAGAGACAGAGCAATTGAGGACTCTAGACTCACAGAAAAGAAAGACTGTGTGCTGAAAGCCAGGAAGCAGGCATGCAGAATGTGCCCTTTGGTTGTTTAAATGATTTTATATTTCTGAATGTTTTAGTGTACATAAAAAAAAAAAGTGGGGGGAATAGAAGCAAATACTGTTAAATAATAATGCATGGAGGAGATTGTAATCATTGCAATGAAACAAAATATAATAGGATGAGTGTAAAACAGATGTTCTCCCTTGTAAACTATCATTCACAATAAAATTCACAATAAAAACTTTAAAAAAAATTAAAAGGACACTCTAGGACAAAAAAATGTATCCCACTTATACAAAACTAATCAAATGAATTCCATAAAAATGGACAACAAGACATGTAAAAAGGAGCCTTTTACGTTCAAATTTTGCACTTACAGCGTGGCACTGTAGGATCAGCGCTTGACTGCAAACCACAAGGTCAGCAGTTCAAATTCACCAGCTGCTCTTTGGAAACTTTATACAGGGTTGCTATGAGTTGGGACTGACTCAATTGTATATAACAACAAGAAGTTCAAATTTTAAGGAATTCTGGTGGCATAGTGGGTTACATGTTTGGTTGCTAACTGCAAGGTCAGAAGTTCAAATCCACCACATGTTCCATGGGAGAAATATGAGGCTTTCTGCTCCTGTAAAGACTTATAGCCTCAGAAACCCTTTATAAGGTCTCTATGAGATGGAAATGACTTAATAGCACACGACCACAACCAAGTATAAATTTTAGATTTGCAAACCCACAAAATATTCCTCCAAACTTCTCTTAATTTTTATGCTAATTTATAAAATTTTAAAGAAATAGGAACAGCACACAGATCTATACATACAGGTATCATTTAATTCTGTCATATTTTAAACAACATGCATTTCTTTGAAAATAATTCTTCCATTTGACTTCTCACAGCTTACATATATTTGAAAAGAGTTGTAAAATATTAAAAAAATTTTATCTTTCCACCTGTATCTCTAGTCTATAGTATCTGTGAAAGAACAAGGAGAAATCATTTCTTACCTGTAGAATCTTGTAGTTATTTAGAAATAGTATTTGAACACTTACAACATGTGGTAGAGTACATACACAGCAAATTTAAGGCAGAGAGGAAATAGGTGGTAGAGAAGAATTTTGGAGTCCTGGTGTGGCATTATGGTCTGCAAAGTTGGTTTGAACCTCAGGGTCAGTGGTTCAAACTCACCAGTTGCTCTTCAGAAACCCTATACAGGGTCACTATGGGTCAGAACTGACCCTACAGCACTTGAGAACAACAAGCATTTAAGTAATTAGTGCTGTAGTCTAAAAGATACTTAACTGGGATGTTCCATGGCAACATCTAGAGCAAATTATAATGGACAAAGAACACAGCTCTCTAACTCAGCAAACATAGTGCTTTTTAGCTGAGTAACTAACTACCACACATACGAATTTAATCAACTTGTAGCATTTTAAGACAGGAGCTAGCTTCAACATTTTAAACAAAAACACATTTGTTCTTTGTAGATATTATCTATTTAAAAGGAGATACGAAAAACAAAGATAATAGTTTTACTGATGATATTCAAGAATGAAAGTTAGCTTGCATCAATCCTAAACTTAGATACACTCTTGATATGAAACAAACTTGGTAATGAACCTGCAACAGAAGTAGCAAGAGTTCTTACCTATCATCCGGCCACTGATGCTCTTCTTCAGGTCCTTGAAGAAAGGACTTAACTGTCTCCTTACCGATTTCAAGGTGTCTTCCAGGAAGTCTGTGAGGTTGCACCAGGTCTGTAGCTTTGATTCAATGAAGTAGATGGAGAGAGGAATCTTATCCTGCTGCTGGCTGAGCCAATCACTAAGAACTGACATGGTTTTTGCTTTTTATAATTGCAGACTTGAATTCCGAGGAAATAAGTCTACTTGTTTAAAGTACAATAAAAACAGTTGTAGGTATAGCAGATTTATTATCCTTTCTCATTGGAAGGCTAAGGTAAACACACATAGTCTGCTTCCAAATGTGAAATTAAAATCTCAAAAAGGACATGCATGATGAAGAATTTCAAATGCTTTGATAGACAAGGTTTGAAATATATTTGAAAATTAATATTGCTGCTGGATTGTGCACTGGGAAGCAGAGTAGACACCCAAGTAAGAATATACTATTTTCTCTTTACATCCTAAAAATGAAAATACAAGAAAATCCCACTCTGTTTAATTTCTCCATCATGATGTTATAGCCATCCCTGTATCTCTATTATGTCAAGCTGCTATCTCTCTCTATGAATATATCTACACAACTATAGGGGATACTTAAGTAAAATTGTCTCCTTGAAAACCAAGTCATCTGAATGATACAGTGACATCCTGAATGGATCCAGACTAGCCTTCTTTTCTTTTCCCCTTTCCCCTTATTGATAAATACATATAACGATTTATCACACTGTTGTCTATGAGGAGAATGAGAAAGGAAACAGAGGAGGATGAGTTGGAGGCGGGGGAGCCAGAGGCGGAGAAGAAGAACAGACTCTGCTGCATATTGTAACTCCATGGAGTCCAATATCCTGCCTTTTAGTGGCATTGCTGTAATAACGAAGGCTCTCCAGGGCCATTACTCATTGGACCAGAATGCTGTGGAGCTGAGAACTCCATTTAAGAAGACAAATCACAGATCACAGCGGCAACTTTTCAGGCTCCCCTCACTATTGCTCACCTTGCTTCTGCTTCAAAATAGATGAAAAAATCCTTAGGTCAATGTGCTTTTCCATGTATATCTACATGGAATTTTTTCTCTTACAGTTTTCAAAATCATGTCAACTTTCCCCTAGTCTTTAAAGGTACTTGCATCTGGGATTCAGGATGTCATGCTTTATATAAAGAGGTATCAAAATGTTCATGGGAAAATGGAATAAAAAAGATAATGGAAAACTTCCACGAACTTTCTGAAACCTCTTCATATATCTACATTACTCCAAGCTGTGTCTGCTAAGAAACAAAGAGTTTTATAGGAAAACAAATTTATGTTACTGTAGTGAAGCAATTTGGGTCTCTTATTGGACTTCTGGGTGGCGTTGTGGGTAATGCACTAGACTGCAAAGTTGGTTTGATTCACAAGGTTGGTGGTTCAAGCTCACCAGTTGCTCCTCAGAAACCCTTTACAAGGTCGCTATGGTTAGACCCAACTGGATGGCACTTACCAACAACAACAGGTTGGCAGATTTTGTATCTAAATGAAACTTTGCATTTGAATTATATCTTGACTTTGACTGTTTTTCCTCTCAGGTAATTCTACTGAAATGGAACCAAAGGGGGTTCTTCTGCCATCTCTTTGTCCCTGTAATCTTTTTCTCCAGACAAAGCCCTCTTGGTTATATTTTACTAACAAAAGGTTTTCTTTGTACTTACTATTTCTTCTTCGAGTCTTGGTGTGGTGCTGTGGGTCAATACACTGGGCTGCAAGGCTGGCAGTTCAAGCTAACCAGCTGCTCCTCAGAAACCCTAAACAGGATTACTATGAGGCAGAACCAACTTGGTGGCACTTAACAACAACAAATTATTTATTTAGATCAACAACTATACATTTTTGCTTAACTGTTAAAGATGATGTTTTCAGCAAAGTTTGTGTAAATGATGGGTTGAAACAAGCATTTGTAGTAAATGATTCCTGCTAAGAAAACGACTAAGTAACATGAGATGTCATAGTTTAGGAAGTGATAGCATTCTCTCAGGGAATTGTTGTTAAATGCTGTCAGTTTGATTCATAGCAACCCTGTATAGGGTTCCAAGGAGCAGCTGGTGAGTTGGAACCACCAACCTTGAGATTCAAACTGACTTCGCAGTCGAGTGCTTGTCCTACAGCACCATATGCCAACCATGACCAACATTATTAAACTATTATGAATTGAATTATATGCCCCCCAAATATGTGTTGCAAACCTCAACTCCTATACTTGTGGATGTAATCCCACCTGGGTATAGGGTTTGCTCTGTGCACTGTGTGTCTTAAAACCAATCACTTACTCTTTTCTATTTCGGTGCAAATATATATAGTCATACACCATTTCAACAGTTTCTACATGAACAACTCAGTGGCATTGATTACATTCTTCAAATTGTGCAACCATTCTTGCCATTCCTTACCAAATTGTTCAGCAAACATTAGCTAGAACTAGCACCCTGAATTCATACTGCTAGCTTCCTAAACTGTGAGAAAATACATTTCTGTTTACAAAGCTACCCACTGGTGGTATTTCTTGCAGTATCACTAAGAGACTAAGACTAAGGACCTTTCACTGATCCTGGGTTGGTGTATGCCATTGGTAGTCAAATTCCATATCTACTTACTGTGTTGGTAGGAGCCGGTTGCAATCCCAGTGGGGGCCGTAAACAATGTGCCAGTTAGTTGAGACAGCTGAGAAAGAACGTCCATTCCTGCCTCTGCACAGTCAAAAAAGGTTTCCATTAGTTTCCTCACAGGATTTGCCATGGAGCAGTTCAGTATCACTTAGGAGGAGCGTGAATGAGTTGGCCAAGAAAGGCCCGTAGCAAGCAGTCCCTTCTTTAATTCACATCCCTCCATGGAGCAGTCGAGAAACAGTTTACAGTTAATCCCTAAATGCTGAAACCCAGGCATCAAATTTATGCGACACGGTACATAACAACAACAACAAGCAATAGTGTGGGGAAAGAGGGCAGGGATTTTTACCTGGCACTTGTTTTCATATTTGGAATACTCGGCCCAAAGAAAAAGGAAAGTCTGCCTATACTTTGTAAAATAGTTTTACTCAAAAGACAAGTCTTAAACTGAGAGGATAGATTTAAAACCACTAAATACACACTGAAATATGATGGTCAGAATTTAGCGTAGCACTAATTTCATCCTTTCTTCAGTGACAAAGAATTATTTGAAATGGGACTCACGTAATGGGGAGTGTATTTTAATGCTTTGTGGTCCAAGAGTAAAGGATTACTCTACAATATTTTGATTGCATCTTAGAATGAGAGGGCAATAGCTGAAAGGATGGGGTGTCTCTCCCTTACGGGTGTCTAAGGTTTGCAGGAGTTTCCCTTGTCAACTTTAGAGTGTACTCCTCTTTGTTCTTAGAAAAGCTTTTAAGTTTTTGTTCCATAGAACCCTCTCCTACCCCTACAAATGGTAGAAGAGGTTCAGTTAGGAGACCTGGTTTTAGTTCCAACTTTGTCAATAAATGACTGTGGGGCTTCTCTGGGCCTTGCATTCTCATTTGTAACACAAAAACACAAACACAAAACAGTGCTGTCAAGTTAATTTAACTCATGATGATCCCTGAGTGTCACAGAGAATACTTTTCCATATGGTTTTCAATGACTGATGTTTCACAAGTAGATTACCAGATCTTTCTTCCAAGACGTCTCTGGGTGGATTTACAGCCAAGTTCTTAACTTTCTGTATCACCCAATCAAATCTGCATTACCTCTTGTAAAGCATTTATGACCCTTGCTTATAAAGCTTTTTAGATGAGTGTATCATTTAAGGTACTTTGTTGTAAGTCACAGAATAACAGCTTAAAACTGAACTAAACAATCAAGGAAAAGATGTCGTTGAATTTCACAATGGGTGGCTCACCAATGTCAATCCAAATGCTTTCCTTCTTTCTGCTCTGCCATTTCCAGCCTGGCTCCCACACCAATCAGCTCCTATGTTATCTGACTTTACATTTAATGTTCACCCACCCACCAAACAAGATGAGTCAGGTTTGGGCTTATGCGGTTACTGGGTAATGATGCTATCTTTACTGAGAAATCCTGGGAAAGGGGAAGGTTTGGTGCTGAGGAGGTAGTCAAGAGTTTGTTTTAGCTGTGTTAACTTTGAGATTCCTATAAGTATGCAAATGAAACACAATGTGAAGATGACAAGTGTGAGTTAGTTATAAGAGGCTGGAGGGCTGGAGGTAGAAATATAAGAGTTTTCTCTGTACGGATTAAACTTAGTGTCATGTGACTAGATGCGATGGCTTAGGGGAAAACTATAGTTCCAGAAAAGGAGAGTCTAGGATCAAACCTGGGCATATTTAAGGGTCTTACAGAGGAGAAGTCACGGGAGAAATATGAGGCTTTCTGCTCCCATAAAGATTTGTAGAACCAGAAACCCTACACAGGGTCACTGTGAGTTGGAACCAACTTAGGGCACACAACCACCACCACCACAGAGTAGGAGGAGCCAGCAAAGGAAACTGAAAATAAGAGGTCACAGAGACAAGAGGAAAACCACAGAACTTATGGCACAGACAGTCCCTGGTTATGAATGTCCACTTCATGGACAACTCATTTTGGTCCTTTAATGTCATGTAAATTTGCCCTCACTTTGAAGCCAAGCCCTATCTCATAACATTTTCTCATCACAACCTCCACCACGTGCTACACTTGCAGCTTTCACATCATTAAAAAGCCTCTGAGCCTTTTCTCACAAAAGACTGAAGACGTTCCTATTTACCCGTCCTGACACACCCGCAAACTCATTTGTAACCTGGGGACCATTTGTACTGGGGAAGCCATGAGAAGGAATGTTTAAGGAGGATTTTTCATCCATGTTAACTGCTGTGAGAAGTCAAAGTTAGGCGAGGATGGAAAAGGGACCACTGAATTGGAAGTCACTATGACTGTTTCAAGAGGTAGCAAATGATCAAGAGCCATTGATACTGAAGGAAGAAGTCCAAGGTGTGTTGAAGGAATTGGCAAAGAACAAGGCTCCAGGAATTAATGGAATAAAAATCTTGAGGTGGCACTGGAGGCACTCACTCATCTATGCCAAGAAATTTGAAAGACAACTATCTGGCCAATTGATTGGAAGAAATCCATATGTGTGCCCATTCCAAAGAGAGGTGACTCAATGGAGTGCGGAAATCATCGGATAATATCTTTGATATCTCATGCAAGTGAAGTTTTACTAAAAGTAATACAGAAATGGCTACAAGCATACATTGACAGAGAACTTTCAGAGGTTCAAGCCCGATTCAGAAGAGGCCGTGGAATGAGAGATATCATTGCTTGATGTCTGATGGATCTTGGCTGAAAGCAGACAATGTCAGAAAGATGTTTATCTGTGATCCAAAGGCTTTCAACTGTGTGGATTATGACAAACTATGGACAACATTGCGAAGTATGAGTATTCCAGAACACTTAATTGTTCTCATGAAGATCTGTACATGAACCAAGAGGCAGTTGTTCAAACGAACATGGGAACACTGAATGGTTTAAAATTAAGAAACGTGTGCTACAGGGTTGTATTCTTTAACCATATTTATTCAACCTGTATACTGAGCAAATAATCTGAGAAGCTGGGTTATATGAAGAAAAACTTGGCATCAGGATTAGAGGAAGACTCATTAACAATCTGTGATATGTAGATGATACATCCTTGCTTGCTGAAAGTGAAGAGGACTTAAAATATTTACTGATGAAGATCAAAGAGCACAGCCTTCGGTATGGATTACATCTCAGTGTAAAGAAAACAAAGATCCTCACCACTAGACCAATAAACAATATTCTTATCAATGGAGAAAAGATTGAAGTTGTCAAGGACTTCATTCTTCTTGAATCAACTATCAACACTCATGAGAGCAGCAGTCAAAAAGTCAAATGACATATTGCATTAGGCAAATCTGCTGCACAAGACCTTTTTAAAGTGTTGAAGAGCAAAGATGTCAGCTTGAAGACTAAAGTACACCTGACCCAAGCCATGGTATTTTCAATAACCTCATATGCATACGAAAGCTTGACAGTGAATAAAGAAGACCATAGAAAAATTGATGCTTTTGAGTTATGGTGTTTGAGGAGAATATTAAAGTGCTATGGGCTGCCAAAAGAACCAACAGATCTGTGTTGGAAGAAGCGCAACCAGAGTGTTCCTTGGAGGCCAGGGTGGACAACCTTCGTTTCTCATACTTTGGGCATGTTGTCAGGAGGGACCAGTCTCTGTAGAAGAATATGATGTTTGGTAGGGTGGAGGGTCAGAGAAAAAGAGGAAGACCCCCAGTGAAATGGATTGGCCAAGTGACAGCATCAATGCACTCAAGCGTGGCAACGATAGTGAGGTTGGCCCAGAATCGGGCAGTGTTTCGTTCTGCTGTGCATAAAGTTGCTGAGTCAGTACCAACTCGATGGCACCTAACAACAACAACATGATATTGCCAAGAGCAGTTTCAGTAGAGAGAAGGCACCACTTGGAGAAGTTTCAGGAGGTGAGGAAGTGGGGGCTGTCCGTTTAGACTAGTGTTTTGCAGTGTGCATCAGCATCACCTGGGAACTTGCTAGAAGGGCAAATCTCCCACCACAGACTTACTGAATAAGAACTTTGAGGTGGAGCTAACCACATGTATTTTCCTAAGCCTTCCACGTGACTCATGGAGTCCTAGTCTTGCCCTGTAGGATAAGTACTGGACTGCAGGGACTGCTAGCCACTTTTTGGGAACCCTATACGTGGTCACTCTAAGTCAGAATCAATTTAATGGCATTTAGCAACAATAACCAGGTGATTCATATAGACACTGAAGATTGAGAACCAGTGATGTGGTCAACGTAACAAAGAATGAAGAGTGACAAAAGAGATTCACATTTATTCATTGTACAGAATTCATATTATGTAATGACAATAAAACCATTATACATTGGGATAATAATATTATAATTTCAGATAATTTTGACTATAATAAAAATATAAAGTGGAAAATTAAAAAAAAAAGAATGAGAGAAAGTGTTGTTTTTGTTTTTAAACAGAACATACCACAGGTATTTCTGATTTGATAGAAATGAAACAGACCTGTGGGTAGAGTCCAGCAGGTTATTTTAATAGCTCCTTCAGTGATTCAAATACACACTAATGTTTGAGAACCACTGTTGTTGTCAACTCAAAAAGGGATAAAGGAAAATTGAGGGGTTTTTGTTTTTTCTTTTTTAAAGACAGAAGAGACTACAGGTGTTCCCAATTTGATGTGAATTCTCCAATAAAAAGAAAATGAAGTTGCAGGTAAGCATCTGGTACAAGAGTGAAATCCTTGAGACGGTGAAGGACAGTGGGATCCAGTGTCCCAGTGAAGCAGCAGATCTTCAATATAAACAAGGGTGGTTTTTCCCATTGTAACAGGCGGATGATAGAGAACGAAGGTAAGGAGGGAGGGAGGTGATGGATTGGGTTGTGGGAGAGTAATTAGGTAATTACCACAAGGTTGGCAGTTCAAGCCCACCAGTCACTCTATGGGAGAATGATGACGTTTTCTGCTCTCACAAAGATTTAAAGTTTTGGAAGGGCACTATGAGTTGGAACCAATCCTGGTGTGGCGTTGTGGGTTAATGTGCCAGACTGCAAAGCTGTTTGAACTGCAAGGTCGGCGGTTCAAGCTCATCAGCTGTTCCTCGGAAACCCTATGCAGGGTCACTATGGGTTGGAATCATCTCGATGG